GACAGGATGGAAGCCTAGACCCTTGGACAGGATGGAAGCCTAGACCCTTGGACAGGATGGAAGCCTAGACCCTTGGACAGGATGGAAGCCTAGACCCTTGGACAGGATGGAAGCCTAGACCCTTGGACAGGATGGAAGCCTAGACCCTTGGACAGGATGGAAGTCTAGACCCTTGGACAGGATGGAAGCCTAGACCCTTGGACAGGATGGAAGCCTAGACCCTTGGACAGGATGGAAGCCTAGACCCTTGGACAGGATGGAAGCCTAGACCCTTGCCGAACGCTTTCAGTGAGGCTTTCTCCTACATTAACATACCGACTGCTGCGTTGAAGGTCGCATTAAAATAATGTCTTACGCTGACGGTCGTCCGACGTTCTCACAACATGTCCCGCTTAGCGTGGCTGGGTCTGCACTAAAATGGTATAGATGCTGGGGAAGACCTGCCTGTCCGAGTACCTCGTTTACTGAGACCTTGTACTGCCACTGGACATTAAGTAGGCGTTCATGGGCCGTCCATGTTTCACGGACACAGAGAAGCTTCGGTTGCACATCAGCTTTGAATATTTTTATTTTAGTTTTGGGGCAGGGGGGTCTCGGATATCAAAGCACCCCAAAGTTGGGAATAAACTTTGAATGCACGAATCCACAAATCCGGAAAGTGGCACGGGGCATCCAAAAGTCATGCGGCGATTGTGAATGGCTCGCTCCTTGTCCGTACGTTCTCAAACACTTAGTCGTAGGTCACGCTGCGCCTTACAATTCGAAACCTCAGCTTACAATCGATGGTTACGCTTTGGGACAGTGTGGTGCGAGGTCAGAGAAGCTTAGCTTACCATCGATGGTTACACTTTGGGACAGTGTGGTGACGAGGTCAGAGAAGCTTAGCTTACCATCGATGGTTACACTTTGGGACAGTGTGGTGCCGAGGTCAGAGAAGCTTAGCTTACCATCGATGGTTACACTTTGGGACAGTGTGGTGCCAAGGTCAAAGAAGCTTAGCTTACCATCGATGGTTACGCTTTGGGACAGTGTGGTGCCGAGGTCAGAGAAGCTTAGCTTACCATCGATGGTTACGCTTTGGGACAGTGTGGTGCCGAGGTCAGAGAAGCTTAGCTTACCATCGATGGTTACGCTTTGGGACAGTGTGGTGCCGAGGTCAGAGAAGCTCAGCTTACCATCGATGGTTACACTTTGGGACAGTGTGGTGCCGAGGTCAGAGAAGCTTAGCTTACCATCGATGGTTACACTTTGGGACAGTGTAGTGCCGAGGTCAGAGAAGCTTAGCTTACCATCGATGGTTACACTTTGGGACAGTGTGGTGCCGAGGTCAGAGAAGCTTAGCTTACCATCGATGGTTACGCTTTGGGACAGTGTGGTGCTTAGGTCAGAGAAGCTTAGCTTACCATCGATGGTTACACTTTGGGACAGTGTGGTGCCAAGGTCAGAGAAGCTTAGCTTACCATCGATGGTTACACTTTGGGACAGTGTGGTGCGAGGTCAGAGAAGCTTAGCTTACCATCGATGGTTACACTTTGGGACAGTGTGGTGTCGAGGTCAGAGAAGCTCAGCTTACCATCGATGGTTACACTTTGGGACAGTGTGGTGCCGAGGTCAGAGAAGCTCAGCTTACCATCGATGGTTACACTTTGGGACAGTGTGGTGCCGAGGTCAGAGAAGCTTAGCTTACCATCGATGGTTACACTTTGGGACAGTGTGGTGCCGAGGTCAGAGAAGCTCAGCTTACCATCGATGGTTACACTTTGGAACAGTGTGGTGCGAGGTCAGAGAAGCCAACGTTTACTACTTTAACTTATAGTAGTCCCACTACAAAGTAATGCGTTGTAGTTATTTTCATCTTTCAGAATTGTACATTGATATTACCAGTTGACTGAGTTGGTTTTTCACTATAAATATGTTTCTGTTTACTATTTGCCAAAAAATGCGGCCAGAGGAAGCCTTCAGAAGATTTTAGATACAGTTTTAGATTTAACGAGAAGTGTTGACAGACGCTGGCAATTAATTAAAAAAAAAAAATCCAACAAAAACAATAGAAAACCGAAGCCTGAGCAAGTAGGCCAAGCCGAATCCAGAGCCGTCACGTGACTTTAGGGGGGCTCCCTGCAGCCGCAGAAGTTGTAGGGCCTACGCAGTGGTTCTGCCCAATTTAGATCAATGCATTGATCGTCCTTAAGATATAGAAGAAGATAAAGTATGGCAACTGATCCCCGAGGGAACTAATATTTACAATTTCTGCTAATTTCAGCCTGATGCGGTGGCCAAGCTCCCCCCCCCTCAACCCCCCCCCCCCCCCAAAAAAAAACCAAAAAAAAAACCAAAAAAAAAAACAACAGCAAACAAACAAAAAACAACACTTTTCCTTAATATAAAGAAAAAAGTGCAAAAAGTGCTGCCTGGGGCAGACCGGCCCCTCTACGCCCTCTTCATACGCCCTCTGAACACCATCTGTTTCTGTGGAAATTTTTATGACTAAAGCTTAAATATATTTAAATATTCAAAAATGTAGCCGCAATCGCTTTACATTGCATTTTCTTTTTTACCGTAACCGTCTTGAACAGCTATTTCTAATGATAATGTACCATATTTTTGTTACTTTAAAAAAATTTCCATGTGTTTAAAATTTCATGTCAGTAGCTTTATTGTTCTTAAATATCATGTTTAGTCTTCTTGACATTAATCTTTAAGGGGCCTCAACTCTTATAAGATTTTAAGATTTCTTGAAGGAAATTCCTTATAATATCCCCTTCCAACCTTTCAACAGCTGATATACATATAATTTCTCCAATCCAATTGCATTTATTAATAGCCTAGGTGTATTTCAACCAATCAATAAGCTCAGTCTTGAAACCCGAGTAAGTTAGTAGTAAATTTCTTAAAATAGACATAACCGGAATAGTTGTTATTATCCGTCTAGAAGTCAGTAAAATTGCGAAAAAGTATTGTTGGAGAAGTATCCAAAATCATTTCATATCATGACGTGATTGTTCTTAAAGACGTCTCGTAATGTCTAGCCAATCTTCAAGGGGAAGAAGGAAGTATAAACTTGTGATACTAGGAGACGGAGGCGTGGGAAAAAGTGGTAAGTAAAACTGTCCTGTCAGTACACTTAACGGTAGCCGTAGCCGTAGCCGTAGCGAGTAGGCCAAGGCTAGTAGTAGTAACAGTAGTAGTAGTATAGTACTAACTAGTACACGAAGACTTTTTGCTAATAGAATCGTGTATTATTATTAATACTACTTTAGCGACACCCTACAAATGAAAGATAATGGTATACTAATGCTGAGGTCTGTGCAGACTCAAATCTTTTAATTAAGTGAAATAGTCTGTTCAATCTGGTCAATCAATAATCATTCTTTGGTATATTTTATAACAAGTAAGAATATGTCCGGAATTTCCCTACGAGCGCTTCTGTCTCTGCTGCATAGACCCCATTCCATAGGCTCAGTAGTTGTAAGTAGTAAAGTAAGGTTTACTTGACATAATTTAATTTTAATGTCTATAATTTGTCCGTCCTTTTCATTGTGTTTCCTAACAGTTACTAACAATGACAGCTTAAATTTAAATTAATTAAGACTTAAGACTCATATCATAATCATTAAGAGTCTTAATCTACCATCCTCAGCAACGTCAGCAACAGTCCTCAGTCCAATTTGATTATATTATAGTTTAACCTAGATTAGTTATGGTTATAGCAGCCTTAGTCTTAAGTAGCTTCCTCCAGTACTTCCAGCATCGCCAATGCTTTTTAATTGCACAGAAATATATAGTATAGTATAGGCTACATTAAATTATCGATTGGTTACCAAATTATCATTATGTCTATGTCATGTCATAATTTAATAATTTATTATTGATATTTGATAGTACACTCATGGGTGACCTAACTTAATTAAAGCTGGCAGCTCTTATTTAATTAAATTTAAAAGTTATGTAAAAACGGGATTGTCCAGTTTTTTCACTATCGTACCCAGGGTCCTGAACAAATCTCTTGGAACGCCTAAATGTCCAGTTTCTAAAACCAAACCCATTTTCACATATAAGATAAAAAGGAGGTTTTAACAATGGTTGGGACAACAGCCAAATATCCTCAATTTAAATCCTAGACGAGAGAAATTTAATTTTTTGTGTTGCATTATGTTGTAAATATATTTAAATAAATAATTATTCACTGCAAAAATATTGTTTTCGTTTATGATATGCCCCAGTGTTTAAATTAAATTAAAAAAGTGAAGGTAAATTTAAAAAGATTTCTTGGTCTAAAAATAGTTAAAATAAGCATATTTCAATATACAGTTTCCGACGGAGACCCCGGGACCCCTCTTTTTTTTTTTCAAGTTCATGATTTGGTCATCCTATGTTAACATTAATGATAATAATGATATTAAATATTGACTTGATTGCTTCTTCTGTAGACGTACAGTGCATTGCCCCAAAATATAATACTAAGTTTACATGGTATTCCATGGTCCCCACCCGGCAAAGCTGCGCAGCAGCAAAGTAAATAATATAAAAAGTGTTGGACTGCAATAAAGCTTTAAAATATATTAAATATATGTAAAGCTAACTCATATTGTTCTATTGACACAATTTGTTCGTGTCTTATTAATATAAATAATATAATAATACTATTAAAATATGTAATATAATTATAAAAACATAAGCTACACCATCGTTTATAATCTGTCTCATGAAGGTATACTGATCCAAATATAATTGGGACTATACTGTGACTATATAAACAATATTATATTTTAAATATTTAATGTTACAAATGTTATACATGCATAATCTAGTCTATTTATACTATATATTATTTATAAGTATAAATTACATAGTCAAGAGTGATTATAATAAATAATCATTTGACTGTTTTTTTTAAGATCTTACATTTTTAGTGCAAAATAGTACTAGGTTTGGGGGTTAGATGTGGACCTTTATAAAACATCAAATGATCAGTTTTTAACTTTGTGTTGACATTCCAGCTAGTCTCATAAAGTTCACATGTGTTTCAAGATTTACCAGGCTTTTATCTAGTAATGCGACCTAGGAGGGTGGCTGTCATGTAGATGTGGGGATTATTATGTGGATGTTGTGATCATTGATTAGATGTGATTATTGTGTAGATGTGGTGATCATTGTATTAATTTGGTGATCACAGTGTGGATGTGGTGATCACTGTGTGGGTGTAAGTGAAGTAAGTTGCTTGGTAAGATGATTCAAAGATTGAAAAGTTGGCAAGCAAATTTGAATAAACAAACACTAAATGGAAGGGGTTTTACTGCAAGGCATCAGCATCCGCTTGATCTCATTGGAGAACCGATCTTCAGAAATCATGGCATCAAACAAAGCATATTTGGTGGTAAATTATAAAAGGCATTAAAATGAGAGATTGTGATACAAATGGTGTTCTTGGATTCAGAAAAGTTGTGTCTGATGAAGTCCATGCAAGTTGTCTAATAAATTGAAAGCCAAAAGAGTTTGCATTTCTCAGGAACTCCTGGAAGATTTTGAGAAAGAAAATGAGGAATTTTAATTAACATCAGGACAGATATTACTTGAGTCTATCATTTTAACACTGAGTAAAAGCAGGTAGTCTATGGAATAGCGCCACAATTCATCACCTCAGCCAAAGAAACCCTCAGAAGGATTAACCTAAGGTCATGTTGTATGTGCTGTTTTTTTTCAGATTTTCTTGACAAATAAATCGGAATAAACTCGGAATTTAGCAGTGAAATATTACTTCAATAAAAAGACGAATGAAATAATATTAAATATGTTGAATGAATGACTTCTTCTGCATGCCAACTTCAGACCTCACACAGGTTCAATGACAAGAGATAAAATTCAGATTCTTGAATTGTCACTGCTGCTACATCCACCATATTGCTTTTGTTACTTGAGGAAGACTTTTTTCAGTTGGGATAAAATCATTTCCTAGCAGTTTTTCTTTCAGATAGTTTATTCCAGGGAGCATTTCATATGTTCAGGTGGGCAATCCCTGCGGCATAGGGTGGCTCTTTTCTTCTTTTTATGGCAGGGCGGGATTTTCGGCCAACTGCTGAGTTTAATCATGGTAAGGGGCAGCACTAAACCTATCTACTTCACTGGCCAGTGGATCTATCGGTTCCAAAAATAGACATAATGGTGATCAAGGGGATCTACCCAATTTAAACTAAATTCATTCCAGTTATGGCACCTCTAAATTTCATAATTTCATCCCTGAAATCTATATATTCCAACTAGGTTTACATATATATATATATATATATATATATATATATATATACAAAAAAAAAAAAATATATATTTGTCTTTTTAAGAAAATCATCTTAATTATAAACATACAATGTTTTTTGTGTAGTAAAAAAAGTGCTCATACTGTCATATTTATCTATCTATATATACTAAATATATTTATATATATATATATATATATATATATATATATATATATATATATATATACGAAAAGGAAAAATTATATATTTGTCCTTTTAAGAAAATCATCTTAATTAGAAACATCCAATGTTTTTTGTGTAGTAAAAAAGGTGCTCATCCTGTCATATTTATCGGGGTAGGGTGGGGGCAGACATCAAGGGCGCTGATGGCCCCCCCAAAACAGTGGGAAGGAGGGGTAAGGGCTAATTAAGCATTGTGGCACCCAATACCATACATAAACTGAATTCCCTGTGGTATGTCCCTGTGTAATCTTTTTGCTCCATCTTCGTTTCACCCAGCACATTGATTGATGTAGGGTAGGAGGGAAGCATAAATGGAGGGCCACGAAAGCTCTTGAGCAAAAGAGCCCCTCGTCAGAAATTTTTCAATAAATTTCAAGTGCAGTGATGAAGTTTGGTGCATACCTGAATTTAGTTTTGCATCATTTGACACTTATTTGGAGAGATGCAAGTGAAAATTTAGGTTCCCTTGACCTGATTGTGTTTATACAAATACTATATCATTAGTTGTTACTAATACTAGTTTTTTACATTTTATTTAAACTATTTATTTCGTTAAACTACTTCATAAATAAATGGACTTTAAAAAAGAATATTGCCATTAAACAAATGTGGAAATCACAAAAAGTAAGCATTATAGGCCCAATTACCTTTCCTAAATATTTACAAACTTACTAGGTAGAAATATTTAGAATAAGAGAAAAAAAATATTGTTGTAATGGTCATTTTTATACATTGTTAATGAATAGTAAAAAATTATACCAATAAATTACTAATAACTATACTTTTAAAACATTAAGCAATTTTTACCTTGTCCCATTTTAAAAGTTTATCTCATTTTGTGAATAAATAGAAATCGAAAACATGTTGGCAATGTTTGATGCTTAGCAAGAATTATTTCAAAATATTATAATGTAGCCCTCTATAATGACAGTTTAACTCCTTATTGTTCTGAGCGTAGGCCATAATGTAAGTCTTTAAACTATAGATGTTGAAAAATTAATCTAATAAAAATACTGGTATATGGTAATGGGAAGTAAAGGTGCTGCATATAATCATGAGCTGTTCATATTGGGAATAATATGTTATGTAGAATGCAATGGTGCGTCTAGATTTGCCTTAAATATTTGGATCATTAAATCTTTACAGCGTTGTGCTATTTCAGTTGTTTTACAGATATTATTAGGTACCTGGTATTCTAAATGAGCTGCTGAGATTTTTGTTGCGCTGAGAATTTTTTTAGGTCGTGCCAACCGTCATATTTGTTGGACTGGAAGCAATGAATTTAGAAAGTATTGATGTTGATCTCTATTCTGATATATTTTTGCAAGATGTAAAATAAACATTTATCCTTAAAAACATTGAATAAAAAATGCGTTTGTTAGCTGTTACCATCATTTTGCAAAAATACATATTCTGAAAGCCAAAACTGTTACCATTTTGCGAATGCCTCACTTAAGGAACAAATCCCCAAAGCTTCAATATTGTCATCAAATTCCTATTTTTAAAAAAATTGCGTCAAGACACGTGCGAGTAAGATCATGACAAGCTGACTGTTTTGTATAAGCAATTTATCCAAATTTAGTTCTTTTTCCATGGATTTAAAAACTGCCATAGGTAAGTTAAAACATTAATTTATTCTTAAATATCTTATATTTTTATTTAAAAGAAGTTCTTTCTTAAATGTATTTGATTTAGCATCTGCAATTCTTTATTTATTGATAATTTATAAGATGTTTCTACCAATGATCTACTAGTCTATTTTAAAGTCCTTTGTATTTAATTGATGATAAAGGAAAAAATTTAAAAATGTGTATTTTGAATGATATTCATTTTGTAGTTATTAATCTTATTGAGCATTTGTTTAGTTATAACTAATAACAAAAATATATTATACATATAGGCATATTTATATGGCAAATAGAGGCAGTTAAAATCTTGTGTTGGTGTGTGTTTTAATATTAATATTTCATATTTCAGTGGATGAAACTTAAAATATCTTAAGAGTTTGTAATTCAGTGACAGATATCAGCGCAAAAGAAAAGGAAGGCTCAGAAAACTGCCTTAAGTCCAAAACATGTTGTTAGCCATTTTTTCAGGTTAATAGTAGTAATAGTATTAGTTATGTCTTCACTTTGTTATAAGATTACTACCAATGACATGATCATAAATACCAAGTTAACTATTGCATTTAAAATCATAATAAAAATACAATTCTTCTTTTTCACAGGTTGATATTTGGCCTGAAACCTGTGTAAAGAAATGTTCCCAGGCCCATTCAGACATGCAAATAGAGGCATCAGACATGAGGATAGAGGCATCAGACATACAAATAGAGGCATCAGACATACAAATAGAGGCATCAGACATACAAATAGAGGCATCAGACATGAGGATAGAGGCTTCAGACATGAGGATAGAGGCATCAGACATGAGGATACAGGCATCAGACATGAGGATAGAGGCATCATACATGAGGATAGAGGCATCAGACATGAGGATAGAGGCATCAGACATGAGGATAGAGGCATCAGATTTCAAATAAGTCATCTGACATAGGCTTATCTACTTTGTCATTCAATGTTAACTACCATTTCTGAAGGGTAGATTTCTGATAGCTACACTAATTTTTATACAAATTTATTATGTTTGAAATTCTCAATTTTGAGTTTGAAAGTAACCTTTTTTTTATATTTCTTAAGCATTGTTTGTGCTTTTTAATCTGAGTCTGTTCATTTACAAATAAAAACATCATTTTCTACCATCTGGTAAAAAGTTTGATTTTCTGTGATTTTAAAAAAAATTCTCTGAAATTCTCATATTTTGTGAACATGCTTAGTTTATAATTTGAGATAATTATATTTTTTATTTATTCTCTGCCTGTTATTTTCACAATAAGAAATTTCCTTTAACATTATAAAAAAATTATATTTCTAACTCATTTAGTTAATTATTTTATGATTTAAAAAAAATTGAACTAAAATTGACTTTTTGTCTCCCCTTTTCATATTTTGTCAATTTTTATGACAACCCTGAATAAAATTGAGATTGTTATTTGCATAACTGGTTGTGTGTGCAAGAGATGGGAAAGTGCCAGCTTAGGTATATGAAACTACACTGTTGAGTTCTTAAATTTGACGCTGTTCCTGAGTTTTAAAAAATTCATAAATTTCCTAAAATCTGAGAAATAGAATTAAAATTTGTGGTTCTGTTCTGATTAAGCCTAGCTCTATTTAGGGGAATAGTTGAATTTTATTTAATTTCTTTATGAAATTTTCTTACCAACTTTTTTTAAAGTGTTAAAAAAACTGAAAATTTCATTGATTAAAAAAAAATAATGTATTTGGTTTTATTGTGGCACTATCATATTTCTTTAAGGAAAGGGGAGGGGGGGGCAGTTTACACTATATTCTCGGTTTGTGGGGAGGGTGCACAGTTATTTCTCTCTCTCATTCTTAGCATATATTTTGGAAATTCCAGATTATTTTACTTGACATTCTATTAATATATCTATTGTTTCTTCTTGCAGCTCTTGTCATTCAGTTTGTCTGCCACAGGTTCCTAGAGTACCATGACCCAACCATTGGTAAGGAAGGATTTTTGGGCTAGATTTTAAAGACCTTTTATTAAATGTTAACCTTTTTTTCTTTCTTTTTTTTCTAAAAGGTCAGGGTGGACATTAGGATCTGTTGATATTTTAAATAAGCCTTGAGTTGTTGTGCATTTCATACAGTATTAATTACCGGTAAATAAAATAAATTTAGAAAATCCTTCATTGCCGGTACATATTTAAGTTAATCTTACAGTAGAGAAAGATCTTGTACTTGTATAGGTATATAAAAATATCCTATTCAACAAAGAATATGATTTCATAATATGGAATCTCAATCAATTACTTTCTGTCTGGAGCTTTTTAGGTTTGTGTCTATGCTTAAATTAATCTATCAAATATCAGAAAACAATTTAAACATTTAACACTAATTCAACAGAAGACTCATTTGAACAGCAGTGTCGCATTGATGATGAACCTGCACATCTTGACATCTTGGACACGGCAGGACAGGTGAGAACACAATTAGCAACAATGTTACAATGCATTACTTCCACCGCACCGCACTGATTGTGATATTCATAAGGGTGTTGACTTTGGTAAAGTTTGAACTGAATTAGCAAATTTAAATATGGAGCTATCACAAAATTGACACTCACTGATGACCGATTAATTGCATGAAGTAGGTCAACCTAACCCTAAATAGAAATGAGAGCACAATATGAAAGGGAAATGTAAGTATAAAACTTGGTAGAAATGATCCATGATGGACAGGATGGGTTTAATAATAGGTTGCCAGTAAAATACAAAAGAATTGAAAAATGAACTGACCAAACTATAACTATAAGACAAGATAAGATTCTTTTACTGATCAAAACAAATGGAAATATTTTTGATGACATCGTACATTTTCAGCACATAAATAAAACAATTTGAACACATCTACATTAAATTATTTCATTGGTGAAAAAAAACCAGGGATGAGATCAAATGTGAACAAATGGGCAGATGATTTTCTAGAGTTGTCCCCAATTCATCCAAGTTAGTAGATCAGCTAAGACTAAGGTAGGCAGGAGCACTGTCTAGAGGTGAAGGTCACACCTCTGACTGTTGAGAGACAGAGAATGGTGAGTAAGGAATGACACATCACATTTACTCAGTGACATCAATTTCAAAACACATAAGGGGGTGGGGCAGATTCAACACTTTAGCTCTGTTGAAGTGAAATTGGGTCAAGATATAGGCTATACTATAACAAGGTGTTCATCAAGGTAAGTTTTTTTTTAACAATATTACACATGAAATGTACTTGTAAAATGTTTGATAATATTTGGTGTGTTTATTTTCTTTATAATTTTTTTTTCCAGACTGAGTTTACAGCAATGCGTGAACAGTACATGAGGAATGGTGAAGGCTTCATTCTCTGCTTCTCTATAACAGACAGACGCAGCTTTGATGAACTTATAACTTATAGGAACCTTATAAACAGAGTTCGGCCCGGTGAAGAAATCCCCATAATAATAGCTGGCAACAAATGTGATCTGGAACAGAAAAGAAAGGTTTAAAAACATAAAAAATTTGATACTATTAATTGTTTGTGTGATGGTCCAAAAATGTTAAGTTGATTAAAATATTGGATAGGCTAAGTAATAGCAGGAAATTCTTTTATTGGATACGGCAGAAATTCAGTTTTTAATTTAATGATGGGACATATTTTTAAAAAAAGATTGTGATGGAGAGTTGCAGTATATGTTGTGACTCCATTTAACTGTTCATAATTATCTTTTTTGTAAACATCTGTCCAACAGGAATAGCTGTAGACATTAAATATTTTATCAACTTATTTTTTAAACTAAATAATATTAAAATAATGATAATGAAAAAAATAAATATATATTCCCAGGTAAAATATGAAGAGGGAATTTCTTTAGCACAACAACTCGGTTGTCGGTATTATGAGACATCAGCGTACTTGAGGAAATGCATAGACGATGTCTTTCATGGACTCGTGCGTGCCATACGAGAGAAAGAAAAAGAGAAGCTTGATCAGGGAACAAATGGTCGAAAGAAACACGGGAAAGTCATGAGACTTTTAAACTCCCTGCAGCCTAGTCAGCTCTTCAGGAAAGGTTCGACCTCAAAACAAAGTAAGGATATGTGATAATGTCACCACTTCATTTAAATTTACCCTTCGCTATGGGCTCACAACTTACATTTGAGTGAGGCTCACAATTGATCTATCATGTTCTTTGATGTGCGGCATCCCGTTCCATACAGTTGAAAGTTGTGCAGTAAATCTTTATGGAATATTGTCAAATATTCCCTCAGCTCATGCACATGCATACTATCCTGCGGGATCAAAAACCTGTAGACCATATCACTTGGCATGTATGCAGTGAGCAAACTTGTGTTACCAAAGTTATGTTCTACACTTGATTGGCTGAAACAGTACTGGAGTCACTTTAGAATGCTCTTATTTGTTTGAATGATGTATCCATCATTTCTTATTAGCAAAATTATTTTTTATTTCTTAAATCTGTAGTTATTTTATTTTGCTATTGCTAATTTTTTAAGTCCGATTTCTTTGTCATGGCGCCTACTTATGAATTAATCTTACATATTTTTTAATTAGATATCTTAAATGGAAATTTGAAAAAAAATCTGTTTAAAGGGAAATTCGTTTAAAAATTAAGATATGGGAATAAGTTCTTGAAGGAGATGAAGAATTGCCATGCCATGATTATTTTTAAGATTATTTCATGCCTGAAAAGTTACATAGTTCCTAGCTTTTTGATCAGAGTTATTGAAATGCGTTCAACTATTTCTTAATGGCCATCATATCATTTTTTGATAGGAAACTTTTGTATTTTGTACCCAACACACAGATTTGATGATTTTGTGGCATTTTTAAAGTATTTATGCAAGAATGTCCTGTTTTCAAGTGTCTTTGTGATCTAAATTTGTATTTAAAACTATTTTTTTCAATGCACTACACTTGATGTTTTGTTCTTACCATGGAGTTTCCCAAACATCTTGAAATTCTGTGACATATCATGGTACACCCTCTTTAAAATTTCAACTAATTTAAATAATTTTATGGTACATACACATGGAGCTTTTCATATCAATTTTCCATTTCTCCTGTTAATTACATTTCAAAGGCAGTGGCGGTTGGAGGTGGCATTCTTATCGGTTTGGATATTTTTAGACTTAAAAGAAATAACATTTAATCATTTGATATTTAAAGAGTCAGCAGTTAACAGCTGCTGACAAATATGTCCTGATAACATATCCCTCCTATCTGTCACTCAAGGCCTGTGTTGATGCAATACTACCAATCTTGTACAGTGATTCTTAACCTGATGGGAGCTGTAAGGTATCCCAATTCTTCACATAGTCCTTCTATGTCCAATCCATATTGCTGAAAGAAGAAGCTGCTGGAGCTTAAGGAATATTGTGAAAGAAGTTAAAATAGGGAAACACTTTAGTGCTTATGTAACATACCCAAGTTATTTGTTGAGTGTTGAGGTAGTTAAGGAACTAGTGTGTTACAAGGGAAGAACCACCTGCAGTTGCTTTATGATGATATAGAGAAAGAAATACAAAAGAAACCAATCTGTGACAAAGGTGTGACGGCAGAGATGATTAAACATCAGTCTGATATGGTGACAGTGCAGGTGATTTCACACTCATCTGATTTGATGACTGGTGTGACAGCATAGATGATTAAACATCAGTCTGATGTGGTGACAGTGCAGGTGATTACACACCAGTCTGATATGGTGACAGCACAGGTGATGACACACCAGTCTGATATGGTGACAGTGCAGGTGATTAAACAGTCTGATGTGGTGACAGTGCAGGTGATTAAACATCAGTCTGATATGGTGACAGTGCAGGTGATTAAACATCAGTCTGATATGGTGACAGTGCAGGTGATTAAACATCAGTCTGATATGGTGACAGCACAGGTGATGACACACCAGTCTGATATGGTGACAGTGTAGGTGATTACACACTCATCTGATTTGATGACTGGTGTGACAGCACAGATGATGACACACCAGTCTTATGTGGTGACAGTAGTCTGACAGAATAGATGATATCAAACCAGAAGGATAGAGTAAGAGTGGTCTGACAACATAGATAATTACATGTTTTAATGATAGAGCATGTTTTTAATCTCATTACTTCAATCAAAAAATAATTTGTCATAAACTAAAAGATCATATTTTTACATTTTTTTACAAACTAAATTTATTTAAATGATGAAAGTCTTAAGGATTTTAATGTAGCTCTCCTATCATTTAATGAACCCATGTAGCTCTCCTATCATTTAATGAACCCATGTAGCTCTCCTATCGTTCAATGAACTTATGTAATGGTTGAGATCTTTTGAAGAGTACAATTCTATTACCTTTATCTTCAATACAGATAAACCTTTTGAGTCTATCTTTTGTGATTGTGCCTATCTTACCTGTGAACTAATGCTTGTCCTTGGGGTAAAACTGACATACATCAGCCTGTATAGCAGTTTTTCAAGGAGAGTAGACCGATTTAATCTTGCTGAGCAGTGTTGATAAAGAACTTGATTAGCTTATAAATGTAAAAATCTCAGGGTTTTGAATGAGCTCTCTCCCTTGGCAGTCCCGATTCTGTGCCAATCATCATGAACTGTTTCTGGATTTGTTCTCAGATTTTATTCAAGAAATTATAATGACATAAAGATTTCCCAATTTTCTGACTTGTATCAAATTTTATTGGTATACTAATTGTCTTATTTCATTTTAAAATTATCAATGCAACTTTGATGAATTTATATCGTGGGCTGTGGAAATAAGCTCTATTTATTGAGTAAATGGAGAATATAAATTTAAAAATAAAGTGCTAAATGAATGAATTCTATGTTTGCGATGGTATGTATGGAAAATATCAAAAGAGAATACATTATATACAAAAGTCTGTATTTTGTCAATGATAGAGTTGTCTGTACAATACTATAAAAACAGTTTTTAATTCATGCATTGACCTGTTTAATTTATAATATTTATTTTTGACAACTACATGTTCGTTGCTGTGACAACTTTATTTCATTGCTGTGACAACTACATGTTCATTGCTGTGATTGTCATGTTTATTTTTAAAATAATTAACTGATTGAGAAGATGTATGTATATTATTCTGAAATTTCTTTAAGCGTCAGTTTGAAAATTCCGTACTTGTCTCAGTCTGAAACGTCTGTAAATGTCTCAGTCTGAGACTTCTGTAAATGTCTCAGTCTGAAACATCTGTAAATGTCTCAGTCTGAAACATCTGTAAATGTCTCAGTCTGAGACTTCTGTAAATGTCTGAGACTTCTGTAAATGTCTCAGTCTGAGACTTCTGTAAATGTCTGAGACTTCTGTAAATGTCTCAGTCTGAGACTTCTGTAAATGTCTGAGACTTCTGTAAATGTCTCAGTCTGAGACTTCTGTAAATGTCTCAGTCTGAGACTTCTGTAAATGTCTCAGTCTGAAACATCTGTAAATGTCTCAGTCTGAAACATCTGTAAATGTCTCAGTCTGAAACGTCTGTAAGTTTCTTAGTCTAAAATGTCTTTAAGTGTCCCAGGAGAGTGAAGTAATGTATGAGAGATGCTTGAAATTGTTTCACAAAACTTAAGTTTTTATTAAACTCCAACTTTTGACATAAACTATTTATAGATTAGAGAATAAAGCTATCGTTCAAGAATTTACTAGTTAGCCGATTGATGAAATACAAAGTATGTTGTTGTCCTTTCAAATTCATCCAGTCACATTCTTTGTTTATGTTACAAAACTTCAGGAAGTGAACTTTTTTGGGGGGTTATTTTTTAGAATTTCTCTAGGGTTTCAAGTACATGAGTAGAGAGTGCCTTACCATATCAAAATATTGCTCTCCCCAAGTTTGGACCATGACCATGTCATATACTGTGTGACACAACCCTACTAATCATTACTCAAACTAACATCCTTGATTTGACCTATATTTTACTGAATAGTTTGCTTAATGTGTCAAAGAGTTGACATAATTTGATAGTAGACAGTTTTGATTATCTTTGGGGGAAGTAGGTCAAGTTAATCTTAATTATTTTAATAATGTCATTTTCTGAGATGCTTGATGCTACCGTCGAACCCAGTTATGTCGACGGCCTCGGGGTTTGCCAAAAACAGTTGAGATAACTGAAAACCAATATGGCAGCAATATATTAAACGTGCTTGAAATATCTTATGTACATGATGTGCGTTAATAAATGCAGATACTTCTGTAAAAAAAAAAAAAAAACTAAAAAAACAAACTATTACAGTTATTTAGAGCAAATTTTAAATTAACAAAATTAAACCAGAAACAACTTTTTAACTTCAGTACTTTTTGAGCTACGAATTTTTAAATTGCGAGTTCATTTGGTATTATCTACTATGGACGAAGCCTCCTCATTGTGTGACCTATTTCTGCTGATCGTGTCTTGTGCAATGACTATATAGTTTATATATGGCAACGCATCTCCTCATTACTAAAATACTATTTAAGGACTACTTATTTTGAACTTTCAACTTTGGCACATGACTATTTAATTAAAGTTTTCCACGACCAATGGTTGAATAGATTTTGCACACGGCAATCTCTTATGGATGAAACTCTGACATTGTACCACGGCATGACCATTATACAAGTGACTGAATGACTGCAGATGACAATGTTTTGCATATGGCAAATTATGATCATATATTAAATGGACTCTACCGGCTCTTTGAAATAATTTATTATAAATGTCTTGTGTTCAAATTGTTTTATTTATGTGCTGAAAATGTATAATGCAATCAAAAAACATTTCCATTGATTTGGATCAATAAAAGAATCTTATCTTAAATGTTACCGGGAATTTATTTAAAAGAAATTTCGTAGACGGAAATTTGATCCAACGGAATTTTGGTCGAATATTTAAAAAAAATAATAATAATTTGAACGCAAATTAAAATATATTCCTTTCAATGACTTCAAGGTTCATTCTAAAACACAAGTCCTGTATTTTGAGAAATACATCATTATTTTTAATTATGAAAAACGTGTTAATTTGTTGTTTGCTATTTCTTCTTGTGGAGTTCAAAAGCCGGCGATTGGTCATGGGGAACGGGATAACCGAGGTTAAGTAGCAAATTAGGCCGCCTTTTGTGTGCGAGATATCGGGGTTGGGCGACATAAAAGAACCCACATAACCGAGGAGAAAATGCTAAGACAAAGAGAGAATTAGGCCGTTCCACTTCAAAAATGTTGACATAACAGGGCGGGCGAGTTAACCGAGGTCGAGATAAGCGGTTTTGACTGTAATTATAAATATAATAGTAAATATATATTTGGATGTAGTGACAGACCCAAAATAAATAGATGGAGTGTGTTTCAAATTATGGTATGGGGAGTTCTCAAAGCATCAATGAAGGCGTCTTTTAAAAGACATTCAAATACAGTGATTCCTCAATATTCCTCAATGTCGATATTCCCCCTTTTTAATATTTGTCCTGCTTTTTCGTAGAAATTTTTGTTTGATCTTCGCCCTAAAATTGGTAATTCCTCCCACCTACCCTGTGCGTCAATCAGTCTTGGGCGGTGATTCAAAGTACTACTTTATTACTTTTAATATTTACGATTTTTTAAAGAAATATGTGACCATTTTCCATGCGTCAGTTGTAGAAATCCATGGTGTTCTAGATCCAGAGGTGTTTTTGTTTGTATTAAATTGTAGATTTATTCTTCTTTAAATTCGAGTCCCTTGGTTGTTGTTGCCATTGACGTCACCTGATGCCATAGTGAAAGGTAGCTCCCTCACCAAACAACAGCCTAACCTTTATCAAATAAAAACTCTTGACAACAATCCTTTTGTTATTTAAAATTGTTGCTTGTAGATCTATGGACCTTGGGTACGTTGGGAACACACATTTACCTTATGTCTAGGTTTGTTTACCTTGGTGGTTTGGGAGACGGGCGGGGGAGGGGGGGGCGGGGGTTCTCAAAAGGAAGTAAACTTCTGTTTAAAATGTTATTGATCTATGTATATAGTAGCACTACATTATATTTAACAGGCATCATGACAAGTAAATTCTCTGCTGTAACGATAAAGCGTTAATAACAAGTCTTTAATATGTACATTAAATCGTATTTGCGATGACTTCCTAGATTGATTTTCCAGTGAAATTGTTAAAAATAAAGACTATATTGGAAAATTTCGGGACTGGAAACGGTTAAACAATTTTCTAGTAAATTCTAATGGAAAAAAAATAGTTTCATATTCGTCCTTCCCTCCGGAACAGATAAATGACGTATATTGAGGATCCACTATTCTATGTATTTATTTTTATTCTTAAATTTGATGACTACTCAGATCAAATTAAATTGATTTTCTCACTAATATAATCAGTTTCAAAATGAGTGGCTATTTAAACAATTGTTTTGAAAACTCAACATTTAATTCATAACTTCTTGACTGTATCATATGCCTGTAGCTTAACAGAAAAGTTGTTCAAATAGTGCTTTGATCTTCAAAGCTTTCATAAACACAGCTGTGATACTGCCAGATTGCCTTATTAACATTAGCTAAATTCTTATTTGATTGCCTGACTAATGTTAGCTAAATTCTTATTTGATTGCCTGACTAATGTTACCTAAATTCTTATTTGATTGCCTGATTCATGTTACCTAAATTCTTATTTGATTGCCTGACTCATGTTAGCTGAATTCTTATTTGATTGCCTGATTCATGTTACCTAAATTCTTATTTGATTGCCTGACTCATGTTAGCTAAATTCCTATGTGATTTCTTGACTTATGCTAGCTAATTTCTTATTTGATTGCCTGACTTGTAACTTGTGTCAGCATATTTCTAATCAGTTTTTATCAAACACAGATATCCCAATATACCTATTGATGTTTCTGTAAATATAAGAAATAATGGAAAATGTTTGTAATATGTTGAAAAATATTTACAGAGTTCTATTGTTGTCTAAAGCGAATAATTGGCATTAGATTGAATGAATGATGGGATATCCAAGCAAGGGATTATTTGAGAATTGATTATGTTGTGGTCAGTCAAGTCCATTAGTGGGAAGACACAGCAGCAGAGCCTGGTCAGGACGTCAGTCCAGTCCATTAGTGGGGAGAAACAGTTAACAGCTGAGCCTGGTCAGGACATCAGTCCAGTCCATTAGTGGGGAGAAGCAGTTAACAGCTGAGCCTGGTCAGGACGTCAGTCCAGTCAATTAGTGGGGAGAAACAGTTAACAGCTGAGCCTGGTCAGGACGTCAGACCAGTCCATTAGTGGGGAGAAACAGTAACAGCTGAGCCTGGTCAGGACGTCAGTCCAGTCAATTAGTGGGGAGAAACAGTTAACAGCTGAGCCTGGTCAGGACGTCAGTTCAGTCAATCAGTGGGGAGAAACAGTTAACAGCTGAGTCTGGTCAGGACGTCAGTCCAGTCCATTAGTGGGGAGAAACAGTTAACAGCTGAGCCTGGTCAGGACGTCAGTCCAGTCTATTAGTGGGGAGAAACAGTTAACAGCTGAGCCTGGTCAGGACGTCAGTCCAGTCAATTAGTGGAGAGAAACAGTTAACCAGCTGAGCCTGGTCAGGACGTCACACCAGTCCATTAGTGGGGAGAAACAGTAACAGCTGAGCCTGGTCAGGACGTCAGTCCAGTCAATTAGTGAGGAGAAACAGTTAACAGCTGAGCCGGGTCAGGACGTCAGTCAAGTCTATTAGTGGGGAGAAACAGTTAACAGCTGAGCCTGATCAGGACGTCAGTCAAGTCAGGCAACGTTTGATGCCTTGGTCCATTGTGGCCAGATTCATCAATGACAGAACCATTATATGTCATGGTCCTTTGTGGTCACATTCATCAATGACAGAACCATTGTATGTTATGGTCCATTGTGGTCACATTCATCAATGACAGAACAATTATGTGTCATGGTCCTTTGTGGTCACATTCATCAATGACATAACCATTATATGTCATGGTCCATTGTGACCACATTCATCAATGACAAAACCATTATATGTCATGGTCCATTGTGGTCACATTCATCGATGACAGAACCATTGTATGTCATGGTCCTTTGTGGTCACATTCATCGATGACAGAACCATTGTATGTCATGGTCCATTGTGGCCACATTCATCGATGACAGAACCATTGTATGTCACGGTCCATTGTGGTCACATTCATCATTGACAGAACCATTATATGTCATGGTCCATTGTGACCACATTCATCAATGACAGAACCATTGTATGTCATGGTCCATTGTGGTCACATTCATCAATGACAGAACCATTATATGTCATGGTCCTTTGTGGTCACATTCATCAATGACAGAACCATTATATGTCATGGTCCTTTGTGGTCACATTCATCAATGGCCGAACCATTATATGTCATGGTCCATTGTGGCCACATTCATCAATGACAGAACCATTGTATGTCATGGTCCATTGTGGTCACATTCATCAATGACAGAACCATTATATGTCATGGTCCTTTGTGGTCACATTCATCAATGACAGAACCATTGTATGTCATGGTCCATTGTGGCCACATTCATCAACGACAGAACCATTGTATGTCATGGTCCATTGTGGCCACATTCATCAATGACAGAACCATTATATGTCATGGTCCTTTGTGGTCACATTCATCAATGACAGAACCATTATATGTCATGGTCCATTGTGGCCACATTCATCAATGACAGAACCATTATATGTCATGGTTCTTTTCGGTCACATTCATCAATGACAAAACCATTATATGTCATGGTCCATTGTGGCCACATTCATCAATGACAGAACCATTATGTGTCATGGTCCATTGTGGTCGCATTCATCAATGACAGAACCATTATATGTTATGGACCATTGTGGTCACATTCATCAATGACAGAACCATTGTATGTCATGGTCCATTGTGGTCACATTCATCAATGACAGAACCATTATATGTTATGGTCCTTTGTGGCCACATTCATCAATGACAGAACCATTGTATGTCATGGTCCTTTGTGGTCACATTCATCAATGACAGAACCATTATATGTCATTGTCCTTTGTGGCCACATTCATCAATGACAGAACCATTGTATATCATGGTCCATTGCGGTCACGAATAGCTAAGTTTAGACTTAAACGACATCTGAGCATTATTTTTCATAGAGTTTTGTTCGACTACGTAAGTCCATCAGATCTGTCCAAACAACCCAAGTCAACATATCACTGTCACTGTTGGTCAATGAAATAAATGAAGCTTGCTTTTGAAGCTGTTTGTATTTTGGTTTGAAATTTTAAAATCATGATAAACTTTTTTAAAAACAAAAATCTGTTATACAATTTATTTACTTGCAAGTTTTAATTTAATGTAATAAAATATTTGTGTAAATAATCAAATTTAATTAAATTATTGCACTTTCAGTTTTTGCAATTTTTCATTTTGTGTGTGTTTAATTTGTGTGTGTGTGTGTGTGAGAGAGAGAGAGAGAGAGAGAGAGAGAGAGAGAGGAGAGAGAGAAAGAAATTTGTTAGTTTATTCCACATTTCCTCAAACTAGCCCTACTGCATTTGGCCCGTAGCCTACAGCATTTAGCCCACAGCCTACGGCATCTAGCCCACAGCCTACAGCATTTAGCCCACAGCCTACGGCATCTAGCCCACAGCGTACAGCATTTAGCCCACAGCCTACGGCATCTAGCCCACAGCCTACAGCATTTAGCCCACAGCCTACGGCATCTAGCCCACAGCCTAATTATCTTTCTTAAAACGACCAGTCTTCAGATATGTCCAGGCCATCAGCCTTACATCATTTCAATCACATATTGTAGTCTCAGCAGTCCAAAAATGTATGTGTTATACTCAGGTTATTGTAGTTTATTTATAGAAATAACATTTATATTAGATTTAAAACCTAAGATTAAGATAGAAAAAATGAACAAAATTGTTAGTTTACGTTACTATTACCTGTCTGTGAAATATTCTTCTATTTTAACTAGCTCCTTGGTGTGTAAACAAAAGTTACAGAGCATCTGTCATCTGTACTAGTTTTGGTAATCTTGTGTGTTACAGTCTGTCTCTTGCTTTCTCTCAACCCCCCCCTCCTCCGGTCTCTTTTCCACCTAATGCTCCTACTCTCCTTCCGAGTATGTAAACCACATTCAGCCTCTTCCGTCACATAATCCCAACCCCCATAGAGTGAGATCAAATAATCACGTCAGAAATGTTACGCCCGAATGCCACTCCATCGTCCATACCCTACCATTGGCCATGCCCCTCTATTGCCCCTGCCCTTCTATGGTTTCTGACGATCCATCGTCCTCACCCCTCTATGGTCCCTGTCATGCGTGGTCACATCTGACTGACATAGGCTAAGTAAGCTAATAATCAAAACCATTCACTTCAAAACGGGTTTTGTCAAAGCATCAGAGGCAGCTAAGCGATAAATAAGGGGACAGACATTTTTTTTTTCTGTACACTACACATACTCATTTGGTTACGTACTTTCTCTAGTTGTACGGTTTTCGTGAATCGGGGGCGAAAAGGTCAAGGAGCGCCCTGATCTTCAAAAACTTTAGGTGATCCGCTGACTTTCTACATAGATATATATATGTTCTTTCCTTCAACTGGGAGGTAGCACGGTAATTATCTAGCTTGCCTTTTATTACCTCCAGTTTTATTTAGTTCAGTCTGCTGGTTTCTGAAGAGCAGGGGTCTCAAACTCTAATCATCCAGGGGCCCACAGGAGTTAGAGTCTGATTGAGACTTGGCCGCATCAAGTATTCCACTAAAAAAAGCGATTACGAAATCAGTAAAGAGCAACTGTTATAATCTGCTCAAACTTTCTTAATAGCAAATAAAAACATTAAGGTTCTCAAGAACTAGGCTTCACTTTCTTCCTTCTATTTCTTCTCATCGTTGCCAGAGACCTGGCAG